TATATATTCACATTCAAAAGTTACATAGATGGATAGATATATGAGCTCTCGTACCCGTGTCCTGATCCTCTTGATGTGTCTCAATCTTGCCAGCCATTTTGAAGCGTAGGCGTCTGATGGGTTTGCTCTACACTGATGTACCAGCGATGCCATCTTTACAAGACAAGACAGCAGATAAAACACTCATTTAAAAGGTTCAAATGCAATTGTTCATTCTCTAATATCACTGAGATATGTGACCACCTTCCGGATTGTGATATATTTTCAAGATGATTTATCTGTCGGTTGTCGATTGGTCTGTGAAAGCTGAGTGCCGTACACTGGAATACACTTTGATCTGAGATAGCAACATGGTGACAAGATTGAAAATAAATTCCCAAACTAAAGTACTTTCTGTCTCCTAAAGTTCCCTGGTAACCATGGAAACAAGAAGTTAATATAATCCACCCCAAAATAGTCAGTGTCCCAGGTGAAACCTGAGTTCTGCATTTATCCTCCCCTGACCTGCCAGCCATTTTGTGGCATGTATTGCTAATTGGAGCCTGCAGTGATTTGGAGGGTCTCAGAGGAAAGCGTGGGTGTGTGACTCACACCAAACAGCCTTATTACATAGTCTCCACTTATCACAGTAGGCGGGAAGAGAACCACTCCTGAAAAAAAAAAAGATTTATGCTAAACAGACTGCGTGGTGAGAGCAACGGGTGCTGAGATCTGTATGCCACAAACGCTTTTCTGTTTTTTCTGTTTTACAGCACTTTATTTGTGCTTTTTGTTAAGGAAAATATCGCACTCGTTTTGCATCATTTCCACATAAATTATAATAGATTATGACATATGATTTCCAGGAAAACAGCCAAAAAATACCTTTACATAAAATACATTAAAAGACACTCCAACTACCCAAAATCAGGGATGTTAAAAGTACTCAAAAAATTTGACTTTTAATTGACCAAATAGTATAAGTATCTAGCCAAAAACATATTTGCGTGAAAGTAAAATAGAACAACTTTAAATTGCACTTTATAAATGAGAGGAGTTTCTTGTTCAAGCATTTTAAATCATTTTCTCAATGAGAAGTGAATGAATTGCATACTATGTTGTCAGACAGAAAGTTTTTTTTTTGCAAAGGAAAAACAAAAAACACAAAGGTGCAGAGATCAAACAGAACAAACTATGGAAGCTTGTTTTTACCTTGAAATAAAAATGTAAAAGGTAACTGCAACTTTCTCTCAATTTCTATCACAATTTCTTTCAAATGTTTATTTTGTTGCGGAAACAAAAGCACAGTTGTGAGATGTAATCTCAGAATTCAGATAAAAAAAAGTCAGACTTGTGAGATGTAAACTCAGAATTCCATAAAAGAGACAGAACTGCGGGATGTAAACTCAGAATTCCGTAAAAAAAGACAGACTTGCGAGATGTAAACTCATAATTCCATAAAAAAAGACAGAACTGCGGGATATAAACTCAGAATTCCATTAAAAAAAAGACAATTGCGAGATGTAAACTCAGAATTCCGTAAAAAAAAAAGACAGAACTGCGGGATATAAACTCAGAATTCCATAAAAAAAAGACAGACTTGCGAGATGTAAACTCATAGTTCCAGACAGACTTGCGAGATGTAAACTCATAGTTCCATAAAAAAAGACAGAACTGCGAGATATAAACTCAGAATTCCATAAAAAAAAAGACAATTGCGAGATGTAAACTCAGAATTCCGTAAAAAAAGACAGAATTGCGAGATGTAAACTCAGAATTCCGTAAAAAAAAGGCAGAATTCTGAGATGTAAACTCAGAATTCCAAAGAAAAAAAAAAAACAGAATTATGAAATGTAAACTCAGAATTCAATGAAAAAAATCTGAATCGCAAGATGTCAACTCATATGAACTAGTAATTCTGGGAAACTTTTTTTTATTCTGTGGTGAAAATAAGCTTCCATATGAAAAAAAAGAGACAAAAGACAAAAAGCACTGAGACAAATGAAGCTGCTGAGTCTCACATTGGCGTGCAGAGCCATCTGTCTCACGAGCAATGGTAGATTGCGGTCAGAAACGATCTTTGCCACACTGGTGTCGACCAAACCCTCCAGATCTGAGAGAAAACGAAGAGTTACAGCATTACCCAGCACACACTCCTTCAATACAACACACAAATCTGAATGAAAGCGGCTCTTTTCACCTTTCCGGCACTGCAGTGTGACCAGGTTGCTCTCGTAGTCGAGAGGTTTTATAAGCACCTCCGCGAAGTTGAACTGACCCTAAATGCATGAACATAAACACAAAAAAAATCACATTTTAAAAACGGTTCGGAAAGAATGTGTCAAAAGCAGCAATGAAATGGAAACAGACTCTCTCACACACCTTGATGGTGCCAAGTTTGTACTCCTCTCCGGAGTCATTGTAAACCACCACCACAAAGTCGTTCCCAATGTGGCGTTTCTTATTGCAGCAGCCCTTGTCGCTCTCGCGGTTCGGCATCAGAGTGGCTATATGGAAAATCGCTGCCGATGAGCAAAACGACTGCATTAGTCAGATGCTGCGTCCTCCGAACGCTCTTTATGAACACTTAAGAGTCTTCAGATGCAGTAATGAGCATCACATAATAATGGATCACATTGCTCAAACACTTAAAGTCAACGCTGACTGAAGTGGCTAAATAAATGATATTTCCCATACTTGAGATCCTCACAGGATCGCTTTTACTTTTCTAAGTGGCAGGGTTTTTCTAGGAACTTCTTAATAAAAAAAAAAAAGAATAATCGTTATTAGTAGTAAATAATAATAATAATAATAATAATAATAACAACAACAGCTATTAGTAGTAGTAGTATTAGCAATAAATAATAATTAGAATAATTAATAATTAATATTACTACTAGCGCTACTTATGACATTAATAATAATAATAATAATAATAGTGTTATTGTTATTATTATTATTATTACTACTATTATTGTGAAAATAAAACAATGATAAAAATAACAGTAGTAAAAAAAAAATCTAAATATTCTAAAAAATATATAAATATTCTATTATTATTCTATATTTTTATTAATGTTACACAAAGTCTGACTCAAGAAACACTGACTAAACAGTATATTCACTGTAGTTAAGATCTTTTGAAAGGTTTGCTAGTACTTAACTGATAATAATAATAATAAAAATAACAATAACAATGATAACTATTAGTCAGTAGCGAGAAAGAATATTAAATAATAATTTGTATTATATATGTATTTGTTCTGTGTGTATGTATAGTTATCATTTATCTTTTTTTATATATAATTATTGATTTATTTGTTTTATTTTATTTTATATTATTTTACTTTTTTGTATATGTTGGGGTGGGAAGATAATTGCTCTTGTTAGTATTGTTCTTTCGGATTCTTTGACAACATTTAATAAAACAAAATTACATAAAAAAAATAAAACATTATTATTACTACTATTATTATTATTAAGACATTTTTTTAAAATAATAATATCATATATACAATCTAAATATTATTTACAAAAATAATATCAATTGTTATCGTGATGAGAAACAATAATTATGTTTTACTGTATCTCAATATGTCTACTGCTACTAATAAACCCTGACCTTGCATGATGTCATCGTGCCAGCAGTAGGTGAACTCTCCGTCGTCTCCGTACTGATCCAGTCCACCCAGGAAGATCTGGTCTGGGTCGCAGTCCTTCAGGTGGATGAGCTTTCCCAGGCCCGTGAGGAACTGAGCGTAGCGGTTGGAGCCGTACTCGTTGGACAGGATCGACACCTCGTTATTAGCCTGATAATAAACAACCGTCAATCATACAGGCTTCCTACAACATCTGAAACAGCAGCATGGAAAGAGAAGCATGACTCTACCTGACCGGCTCCAACAAACACAACGCCGATCTTATGAGTGTCATACGGAGGCATCTGATCCAAGACTTTAACAGCACGATCAATCAGCTGTGAACGTGAGACCACACTACATTAATATGAAGTCAATCAAGAGGGCTATGAAAGTGATTGAGTGAATCTCCAAGACATTTCTGGGTCATAAAAATATGACCCAGAAATGTAATAAAATCGAAATAAAAATCATAATAAAAATGTAAATCTAAATTATATAATGAAGCCTAATAATTATTTTGTATAGATTTTATTTTGAGAAAATGAGATTAAAAAAATATATTTTATAGAAATAAAAATAAATAATAATCATTATTTTCCCATTAAGTTCTCATTACTGTAATGCAAAGTCATTCTCATGACTGTAATTCAGTCCTATCCAGTGATATTTTAGTACCATTGATATACTATTATATATTTTTGTTAGTATTTTTAATACATTTTATTTTCATATTTTCTGTTTTGGTGTTAGTTTAAATTTAATTTAAATTAAATTAAAGTTTACATTTTTTTTGTTGGGTTTTTGTCATTTTTATAAGGATTTTTTTGTTTGTTTTTAGTTTTCAGTTTTAGTTATTTGAATACATCAACTTCAACTAAACAAAAATGGGAAATGTTGGCTAGCAGCAATAAAAATAATTAAAAATAAAATAAAATGTTTATATTTTATTTTATTTCAGTTAACGTTTGTTTCATTTTGAGTAATGAAAATGTTTTCATTTTTAGTTTTAGTTAAAATACTATTATAATGGATACTTTAAACTAGTGATCGACCGATATTGATATTTTATAACCGATACCAATTATTTGCATGTTTATGTGCCCGATAACCGATATACAGAACCGATATTTATTTACTGTTATAAAGTAAATAAATGACTGAGTGAAGTAAGTCCATGCTTCACTTTGGTTTTTCCTCCTTTCAGTCATCTTTAAAAAAAAAAAGTGTTGAAAATTAGCAGTCTTTCATGTTAAATTTAATCTTCATATTACAACAAACCGATATCTGATTATTGTAAAATGCTTAAATATCGGGAGAAATATCGGTAAATCGATATATCGGTCGATCTCTACACTCAATCACCCTAGATACACCCTAACAACCACTCAATCACCCTAGAAACATCCTAACAATCACTCAACACCCTAACAACCACACAATCACCCTAGAAACATCCTAACAATCACTCAACACCCTAGAAACACCCTAACAACCACACAATCAATATACACATACATATACATATACATATACATATACATATACAATACCAAAACCATTATATATAGCATTGCATATTATTATTAAAAACAATTATATATAAAAATATATAATAAATATTAATACTGTTAATAGTAGCAGTGAGACAGAATATTAAATAATAAATAGATTTAAAAAGTAATAGGTATTATATAAGTATACGTATTGTTTGTATATATTTGTCTATGTGTAGGTATATTACCATTATTTTATTAATATTGTGTATTACTATTATTTTACTATTATTATATTGATAATAACCCTGTTTTTATCCAGATGTTTAAACAAAAATCTGCATAAATTAATTATAACAAATACTATTATCATGGATATACCATATATAGACCTATAGACTTATAATGATTTTTATTATTTAAAAAAAATATATTTCCCTTTTTTGATTCAGTGTGAAATAATGTGTTCATGAGATCTGCCCAATTTCAACAGCCATAAGAGAGGTGCTGTCTCCTTACCTGAGATTTGGGCAGCAGGAGGGGTTTGTTGGCTTCATTGCCAAAGAATGGAGAGTGATAGAGCTGCAGGAAGACAAAGCTGCCGACAGAAAGAAGAGGAGCAAAGGTCAGACTGAGCTCTGATCTACTGAACCTCCACTCCAACACAAGTGCGCACTACATTTAATGCCTTTTCAGTCCCGCACAGCTTTCATCTGCCTACACGCAACTTACCTCATCACACGGAAAATATCAAAGTTAAAGGTGAAGAAGTTTGGAGAGGATAAGTGTCCTGAAACGCTCTCCAGACCTCAGGAGACCCATTAAACCTGGCCCCAGCACAACTTAGCAAACGAAGATATAACTCTAGACTTTAAATAAATCTTGCCTTGACAAACTCAAATGAAAAACGTGCTGCACAGCACAGCTAACAACATGAGCACACACGGTTAGGATGGTTACGATAAGATAACCATCACAATACTGATGACTGATAGATTTAGATTTAATATTTATAATCGGCCGCACATGGAATCTGTATCGACAGAACATAACAGTTTTCTATTTGGGTTACATATATATGATAAGATAATATATAACACACACACACACATATATATATATATATATATATAAAAATACAAAAAGTTACATACAGTATATTGTTAGCCATACATATTTTCTGCTACTTCTGTCTTATTACTTCTGTCTTTTTATGCAAACAAATCAACTTTTTTGATTGCAGAACTAATTATTACTAGCCAGCTGTTTAAAAAAAAACTATAATTATTATTATATAATTTTTCTATATATTAATTTCATAGATTTTTCTATATATTAATTTCAGAGAGATAATTAATTTACATAGAAAATGTTTACACAAAACATTTTATATAATTTAACAGAAAATATAATTATATAGTATAGCACTATATATATATAAAATACAAATTATATTTACATATACATAAAAACAGCTGGTAAAATAAACAGCTAGTAAAATCATAAAAAATTAAACCACACATGCAAACATTATACAATATTGTTTTTTTATTTGTATTTTTTTTATGTATTTATTTATTTATTTGTCTATTACGGTAGACAATAAAATTTTTGGTTTTCCATTTTATTTGTGCTAAAACAATGTCACAACGTGCATGTATATATATATGTGTGTGTGTGTGTGTGTGTGTGTGTGTGTGCGCGTGAGTGCATGCATTAAACATAGCTACAGCAAAAGGGGAACACAATGAATAATTGTTCCATTTCTGTTAACTGTTGTATGCTGTATTTTCACAAGTGCACGAGTCTCATGAAACATTTTTTATGACATTACAGCGCTTTTTGACAGCTCCCGTCCATATCCACCTTTATTGCATAGAAAACAGAAGCCAGGACATTCATAACAGCTTGTTCCACCAAACTACTCCTTTTACGCCTCCATTCATACAGCAAGTGTATTTTGAGTGACGGGGCCCTTCAGTCCTTATTAGGAAGTAATTGTGGCTTTATCCAAACAGACATGCTTTAAATCGAACAACAATCTGCACACAACAGAGTGAAAGGCTCTGGAAACTGTTTCAAGGAATGAAAGACAACAGTGCCAGTGCTCTTAGTGCCTGACTGAACCCCATTAAACGAGACACATACGGCTCCGTGACGGAGGAAAGCGCTCTTACGGGAAACTCGCTAGGTTTTCCCGGGCTGCGGTCTATAAATAGCAAGTCTATCGATCGAGCAACTCCAGCAGCACTGAACCTCACAAAGATGGATGGGAGTAATTTACAAGTAATTCCAATTCAAGGCAACAATTTGAAAGCGCTCAACTCAGAAAGAGCCTCACTTCACAAAATGAGCCGAGTGAGTGAAGGAGGCAGGATGATTTAATGTCAACGGAGCGACAGATGATGACAGTAATGAAAAAAATAAGGCGTTTCAGCCATATCATTACTCTCCATATAATGCTTTGCTTCTCCTAGAAAATGGAGCACTTGATCAAATGGATGCTGTTCACAGATATTACAGGTGCGTTAACGTTTGCTGAACATGATCACAGCCACATTTTCTGCCATCCATTACACAACTGAGCCGGCATTCGCCATAACAGATTGTAGGGCTGGGCGATAAAACTTTATCATATCTCAATATGCAATATAACATGAACTTAATCTCCAGAACTGCTCCGAGAGTCACTTCACCAGCTTTTCACCGTTTCATTTGAGAAAAACTACTGAAACTGAAAGTAAAACAAAGACCTTCACGACAAACTGCCAAAATAAAAGTCTGGTTTAACTTGAAGAAATTATGACAGAAATATATTACTACTGTTTACTAAAATGTAATTCTCAAGTAATAATAATAATAATATTTTAAGGTATTTTTTCAATAATTTATACAGTTACACACTGCTGTTGTGCAGCATCTTATTTGACAAATTTGTTATTTGTAAATTACGTTTTCATTTCATTAAATTGTTAAAGTTTTATTAATTCATTTAATTAGACACCTTTTTATGATAAATTTGTACTGAATCATAAAACACAGAATCCAGGAAAAACTAAAATGGAAAACAGAATTTAGGGGAAAATGAAACCGATTTCATGGTGCCCTAAATTAAAAGGTTTAATTGTGAACAAATTATCTTAACATACATTCTAAATGTTTAGCAAATATGTGGAAAGCATTTCCTTCCCCATTATTGGTAAATTAATATCGTGATAAATAATCATATTGTATGATATGGAAAAAAAAAAGATTGTAATAACATTTTTGGCCATATCGCCCAGCCTTAATGGATTGTCCATAGCTGTAGTTTTGATAAGAACTGACACACCGGGTTTAGCAAATATGTGGAAAGCATTTCCTTCCCCATTATTGGTAAATTAATATCGTGATAAATAATCATATTGTATGATATGGGAAAAAAAAGATTGTAATAACATTTTTGGCCATATCGCCCAGCCTTAATGGATTGTCCATAGCTGTAGTTTTGATAAGAACTGACACACCGTTGCACAGGAGGCTTTTCCCCCACATTATTTTATACAAACTGTCCCATCATTTAGTGTAAGTGTATGTAGTGCACGTCATCTTAATGAAAAACATCTGCTAAAAGTAAGATGCAATCAAAAGACATGTTTCCAAAAGACCTTGATCCAATGGCAACCGCTAAACACTTCATCATCAGTGCTAAACTGCGTTTCTAGGGATTTTACACAGTGTGAGTAATAAATAATGAATGCTGGTTAGGAACATGTGGTTTTGACATTTCTGGCATAAACGCTACTTCTAGATGATAACTTATAAAAACCATTACATTTTCAAACGTATTCAAATTAAATAAAGATACAATAAATTAAACTATAAATACTAGTTTGTCTAATAAATAAAACACTTGTTTGTAATGTTACAATGTGTTTAGGCACCACATTATAACGGAAAATTAGCTTACATTCAAAGATTACATTCAACAGTGAAATTAAATTATTAGTGTTTTAAAATTTAAGTGAGGACTAGACGATCGTAAAGGTCATCTAAATGTATTAAAAGAGGAAATTAAAAAATTAAATAACCTATAATGACTGATACTGATCGTTAAAAAATGCTCACATACTACTGTTCAAAAGTTTGGAGATGGTGAGATTTTTTTTATGTTTTTTTAAAGAAGTCTCTTCTACTCACCAAGGCTGCATTTATTTGATTTAAAATACAGTAAAAACACAAATATTGTGAAATATTATTACAATTTAAAAGAACTGTTTTCCATGTGAATATATTTTAAAATGTAATTTATTCCTGTGATGCAGAGCTGATTTTCCAGCATCATTACTCCAGTCTTCAGTGTCACGTGATCCTTCAGAAATCAGTCTAATATGCTGATTTGCTGCTCAAGAGACATTTATGATTATTATCAAATGTTGAAAACAGTTGTGCTGCTTCATATTTTTGTGGAAACCCTGATAAGTTTTTTTTCAGGATTCTTTGATAAAGGACTGTTTAAAAGAACAGCATTTATTTGAAATATAAATATTTTGTAAATGCCTTTACAGTCACTTTTGATCAATTTAATGCATCCTTGCTGAATAAAATGTATTTCTTTAAAAAAAAAAATCTTACTTAACCAGTTTTTTTCAGGATTCTTTGATAAAGGACTGTTTAAAAGAACAGCATTTATTTGAAATATAAATATTTTGTAAATGCCTTTACAGTCACTTTTGATCAATTTAATGCATCCTTGCTGAATAAAATTTATTTCTTTAAAAAAAAAAAATCTTACTTAACTATTGAACAGTACTGTTTTAAATTATATGGAATTGATATATCGTGTATTCCTATCTTTTATAACACATTTAACATGCTTTTTCTTTAAAAAAAAAAATCTTACTTAACTATTGAACAGTACTGTTTTAAATGATATGGAATTGATATATCGTGTATTCCTATCTTTTATAACACATTTAACATGCTTTTGCATCCTTTTTGAAGCTTGAAACGTTTGCGTTCAGTGTAACTGCAGTTGTAGTGTGTTATAAAGGAAGGCAGAACACGAGTTTGGACTTCATGTTACCTGGGACTGAGTCCTGAGCTCTTCTCTGCGTTGGATGGTCCTCCTCGGTTGTGGTAAGAGTCTCTGTCCATCTTCCGCTCCCTGCGGGACGAGGGCGCAGACACTGAGATGGTGTGTCCGCGGGGTCTGTGTCCGGTGGGAGACAGGGGTCCCGGCTGGGCCGTGGGAAACTCCAGCCTCATCCTGGAGGTGGAGGACGAGGAGACGGAGACGCTAGCGCTGGAGCTGGACGGGCCGGCTGATATAATGCTCTCTCCCGGCCAAGCGCTTTCTCCTAAGGCCTCCCTTTCTGAAGCGGTATGGACCGTCTGGATCTTGGAGCTGAGCACATCTCCGTCAGCGGCACTCTGGGCCGCAGCCTTAGTGAAGGCCTCTGGGAGCGTTTGGAGCTCTGGGGAGGAGCTGGATTTGTTGAGGGTGGTGCCGTGTATGAAATTAAGGTCTGACTCGTTCGGTCCTGGAGTGGAGAGGGCCGGCGGAGGCTGATCGATGGGGATACCGCCTTCACTGACCTCCTCCAGGGTCGACCTCTCATCGTCCTGACTAGATGTTGAGGAGGACTTGAGCAGAGAAGAGACGAAAGAAATGACATGAATCAGTCTGTGGTTTATCAATGCCAATAAAACAAAACTACTGGCTGATTAATCAGTATTAATAAGCATTAATAATATTAATAAGTAATAAATTATTACTATTATTATTATTACTAAATGTATATATAATTTATTTATTTATTTTTTGTTGTTATATTATTTATATATGTTGTTGTTAATGACATAAACATTATTACATGATAATGATAATAATAATAACAATAATTCATTACTCTTAAAATAAATGTTTAGTAATATATAACTATTAACAATTCTTTTCTTTCTTTCTCTCTCGCGCACTCTCACTTACATGGCAATAATAACAATAATAATACATACATTACTCTTCATGTCAGTATTATATATGTCAACTATATAAATAAAAAAATAATAAATATTAAAATATGTTAAATTAAATTCTTTATATATATATATATAAATAATTACATAATAAATTATACATGATAAGAATACATTATTCCATTATTAATATGTTTTTTTTAAATACTGTACTCTATGTTTAATGCCTATACAATGGCATACTTAATATATATTATTATCATCATCATCGTTATTATTATTAAATTACATATGTTAAAATGATTACATTATTATCAATACTGGGGGTAATGCAAGTTTTTTCAAGTAACTAGTAAAGTAACACATTACATTTACAATTTACAAGAAAATATCTGAGTTACTTTTTCAAATAAGTAATGCTTTGTTTTCCCATTTATTCACTGACACGTCTTCTGTCGCTGTGTTGAGAGAAATCGTGAGTGAAGTGCAGAGACAGAGGCACTTCCTTCAGCCCGAGGTTTATTAATTTCACTTTTGGTGTGAAAGGGCCTCTATAGTTGCCAAAAAAATAACCTTTGGGTTTTTTTTGTTATTAAAAATAAATATGCATGCCCAAACCAGGCGACAAAAAATAACGCAAAAGTAATGTAATGCATTACTTTCCATAAAAAGTTATAGTAATTAGTTACTTTGTCATGGAGTAACACAATATTGTAATGCATCACTTTTAAAAGTAACTTTCGCCAACACTGGTTATAGTTGAGTGTGTTGATAGTGTTTGGTGCAGGTTCCCTCACTCTGCTCAGTAAGCCGGCTGGTGTTGTAGCGGCGCTCATGTAGATGGGTTCAGTCTCCTCCAGCTCTTTGGACTCAGTTGCTGATACAGTCGCTTTGCTCCGTCCACCTTCCTCCAACACAACTGAATCTGTTGGACGACAGCATGAGAACCATAAACGAGATGCCGTCACAACACACTGTATTAGATCCACGAGCAGAGGAGCCTTGAGCTGCATCTACCATATCTGCGATTAGTCTAGAAACGCTCCTACAGTGACTCTAATACATGCAGAGGCATCTGAGGATCAAACACACTCCGGTCACAAACACACACTGATCGAGTCAGACACATGAAGCAGGATTTGACACTGAAAGGCCCGATGAAATGGAAATGGGAGTTGACGTCCATGTGTGTTAGATCCAGGGGTGTGAAGTAACGAATTACAAATACTCACGTTACAGTAATTAAGTAGTTTTTATCAGTAATTGTACTTTTTTGAGTAGTTAAAAAATTGTGTACTTTTACTTAAGTACATTTTAAGGGATGTATCGGCACTTTTACGCCGCTATTTTCCTCCGTTTGGGGTCGTTACATGCTTATTTTAATTTTATTTTTATCCATCAACGTGATTGGATAGAGAGTAATAGGTCTCGTGACTCTCGTCAAATCAAATTGTGCATAGAAAACTTTAAACGCCAGCTGTTTATCATGGCTGCTGGAAGTGCATTCTTCAAGCATCAATTCAGTCGCATCTTCCTCTAACTTAATATGTTAAGGTAAATTTCGGATTTCTGCTTACTAAATGATTTGTATATATGCTTGCCTATCTACACGGCCTGAAATTTGGTGTGAGGTTGCGGGTATTGCATACAGTATTAACCCCTGCAAATGCCATGTTCGGTAAAGTCCCGCTCACTTATAAGACGCGCGATCTGCGCTGCCTCATCTCTCTCTCTCGCGTGCGTTCTGCAGTGGTCACTTGGATAAGTCATCGTTGCTTGTTGAACTTGTTGACTTTTGATGAGTTTGAGCGCGTGTAGTCAAAATTAAAACTTCTGGATGAAAGATATTCTTCATTCTTTATGACAAATAAGATAATGTGAATTACAGAATGTACAAAGTTTTTTAAATGCATCAATTGCGGTGTACGGCGTTTATTATGAGGGGGTAGAATGCACAGCTCAGTACTCGGTACTCAATACTCATGAGTACTTTTAAATAGGCTACTCTTTTACTCTTACACAAGTAGTTTTTTTGGACAAGTACTTTTACTCTACTCACACTACATTTTTTAGAAGGTAATGGTACTTTTACTTGAGTATATTTTTTCAGTACTCTTTCCACCACTGCTTAGATCTGAGGTCTCTGTGCTAGTGCAGAGTCCTACGAGTCGACAAAAGAAACTGAAGCACACATACACATTTACAGTCTCTTTCTGAAATATGTGCCAAAATAACGATGACATCTAAAAACATCTAGCTAAAAACATTTTCCAGCCCTTTGAGAATATTTAATATACATTTCAATATTTACATATTTGTTCTGAACGCCCTTAAAATGTTCTTTTTAATTATCTGCCGTATTATCCTTCAAAATTCTTCAAATATCATATAATTATAATTATGATCAAATGTAGAACTAAAATTCAGTTGACTTTTTTAATAAACTGACAGCCCTAATATGAAGGTAAATATTGCTGTTTATTAATATAAATTGTTATATTGATGCAAATACATAAAAAATATTAAATTAATTGATAATAATAATAATAATAATTGAATAAAATTGAATTAATATTTAAAATATTAGCTACATCTGACTAGTAATAGAAAGAACGACTGAAGGATATAGCTACAGCTATTTAAGAATATTTAATATACATTTTAATATCTAAATATTATTTATGTATTTGTTCTGTAATTATTTCAATACTTAAAATTATGTTTTTAATTAAGAAAATATGCTTTGTTATTAGCCTTCAAAATTCTTTCAACATTGATGCACTGAGATTAATTCAATTAATTAACTGCCATATCATGCAATTCATATTTTTATTGACTGATATTGCAAATACTGCTGTTTATTATTATTATTATTATTATATATTGCTATATTGTAAAATAAATGTATTAACTGATATAATATTAATAATAATATTAATAACAATAAGTATTATTATTATGATTGCAAAAGTACATGAAAATGTTTCTACTTTATAAATTCATTTATCACACCACAGCAAAAAACCTAGAAGTGGATTTGACAAAATATACACCTGGAAAAACACACTTTTCCTTGTACATTTTTAACCTAAAATATTGATATTGAATAATAACAGGTTTACAGACAAGTTATCTCAACTACATTCTTGATTTATATAGAATGACGGAAACATTTCGAAACCTTTTTTATCCACATCGTCCAGCTCTAACAGGAATACTTTTATGTGGGTCAAACTGAAATCACACATAATATAAAGGGAATACATTACAGGAGAAAGATGCCTTTCATGTCAAATTCATGGACGCAAGAAAAAGAGCAAAGGGAATTGGAAAGAGCTCCAGGTAACGGAGTAGGAGCGTCCTGCATCAGGAATCAATCCCATGGCTGGTTCTCAGGCTGTGTGGAGACTGGTTGAGTTCAGCGCTCATTAGTTGGTTTGTTCTGGATTGTTGAGTGTGTTAATGAAGAGAGGAAGCTACAGAAACACTCTAAAGCGCTCGAGGTCACATACACACACGTCAGACATATCTACCTGCCCACGATATACTCCTGTGTAACCTGCCGGGCGTTTCGGTGGAGCAGAGAGAGCCCAGAGCACCCACTGCAGCGACAAACCCAGACAAAAACCAACACAGGCCAAGCCATCAACCCAGAGGAAACACACACAAAGACTCAAAGAGATTCCGGCTGAAAGAGGGACAGATATGTTGAGCGGCCCACTGTAAACGGCATGAGAGAAGGTCTGCAATTAAAAATACTGAGCTGTGGATGACAAATGGTTTTTCTTTTTAAGTGTGTGTCATTTATCCACTGTATGTTATTTGGAGGGAGGTGAAACGAATAAATCACTGAAACACTTGAGATGCAGCTAAATTAAGTTGAAATGATTATGCTTTCAGCAGGCATGTTCATATAAAATAGGAAGAGTCTGAAAAATGGATTCATAAACAAATAAATATGTTTGAATGTAGCAGGATGGTTTACATAAGAAAGCAAACACTTGAAAATTAGAAAGAAAGAAAGAAAGAAAGAATGAAAGAAAGAAAGAAAGAAAGAAAGGATAGATGGACAGACGGACGGACGGATGGACAGACAGATAGACAGATGGATAGACGGATATAGATAGACAGATAGATAGATAGACGGACAGACGGATAGACAGATAGATCGATGGATAGATAGACGGATGGACGGACAGATGAACGGACAGAGAGACAGACAGACGGATAGACGGATAGATATAAGAAAGGTCCCAATGCGGGATGTCATTTCCTCCAAAGAAAGTAAAGGTTTGGCTCTTTGGAATGAAATACTACCATACTGCACACTAGATACTGTATACTTCCCACTGTTTAAAAAAAATAAATAAATAATAATAATTACATATACAGTGGGTACGGAAAGTATTCAGACCCCCTTAAATTTTTCACTCTTTGTTATATTGCAGCCATTTGCTAAAATCATTTAAGTTAATTTTTTTTTCCTCATTAATGTACACACAGCACCCCATCGAATTAGCATACTAGTCTTACTTTTTCTGACATAATAGTAAGCACAGTATGCTATTCTTAATTTAGCCTTTTTATCTCTTAATTTGGAATAGCATGCTTGCATACTACTGAGCACACCACTTTAGCTGCTTTATTTAGCCAATGACCATCAGATATGATTTTGCTAATATTTATTGGCATTATTAATATGCTTTTCTCAACTTTTAGAAGATAATTTGTCAAGAATAAAATAAAATAAAAAATATAGAATTATATTATGGTTATATAAAATATAAAATAAGATAATGGATAATGATATTCAGGGTTATTATAATTAAATAAATTAAAAGCATTTAAAAAACAATTCTCATTTTCATTTATTTCAAACAATTAACTAATAAAAATGACAAAACGACAAAATGTGTTTATTTAAAAATGTAAAACTTTAACTAAAATTAAAATAAAATTGGGATATTCTGTGTATACAAAAAAAAAGTACTATATTTGCAGGCAATATTCTGACAGTACACATGCTACAGAAATGCATAAACAGTGGTAAGTAGTATAGCACAGTAGTATGCTAGTATGCTGTTCTCAGACTCAGCTCATCAAACTTCTGCTTTCTTAAATATGTCAGCTCCATAAATATATGCTAAACAGCCATTGTTTTGAGAGACCTGAGCTCACCGGTTTTGGAGCGCTGGATGGGGCAGGGCCTCCCCTGCGGCTGGGGCACAGCGGCCTCGCTCTGGGGCTCCTTCACCCCATCCATGGCCATCAGCACACTGGACAGCTCCTGCAGCGGGACGTTCCCCAGCTCAGACGAGAAGGGGCTCGGCGGGTTCTCCAGACACATCAGCCAGCTGGTGTTACCTGACAGCAGACGCAAGGACAGAAGAACCGGATTTACAGAGCCAAACTAATCACAAGAACTGCACCATAAGAACTGCAGAATGCATGCTTTAAATCACGACAGCTGACTCAAACTAATCAAATTAAAATCTTCAGAACATCACATGGTGACATATTACAGCTGTTAAGAAAATAAATAAATAAATAAATGTTATTACAGTCATTAGGACAACACAAATACATTTATTTTTATGAGATAATGCAAAATACTGATTCATGGAAAGCAAAAAATATTGTACACACACACAAACACATGTAATCATGGATCATGTGGATGTCATCATATTAAGACCTCCAGCTGTCTGTTCACACCTACAGCTATATGCCCATGTCTCCGTTTAACCAACATCTGCATCAGCATCTGCTCACACAGACACGCTAATGAAACCAGTTTGCCTAGTTAATGACTCGAGGCACCAGAGACATTTTGGATTTTAGCTTATACAGAGAGGCATTTTAAAAACAAATAAATACATTCTTTATGTGATTTTATTTGACCTTATTTTTAACTGATTAACTGATTTAATATTACTTGTTTAGTTGCACAATTTTTTATCTAGAAAGTACATTTTGGCTCTTTGGAAAGGAATGAAATACTAGCATACTGGACATTTTTATTTTATGTATTTTTAATACAACTAATTATACTACATTTTATAAACATGTACAGTTCCAAGAATATAAATAAATAAATATTTGCCCTTATTTTTATTTCAAACCACTTAATATTTGAGTTAATTTAATTTTTATATTATTTATATGTTTATATATTTTTTATATGTTTATTTGCACTATTTTACAAAAAACAAATTTGGGAAAAATGCACATATTTAAACTAGTATTTCATTTGTTTCCGAACAGCCAAAAGTTTCCTTTCTGGGTAGGAAGTGACATCACACATTGCAACCCGTCTAACTTTATTTTTCAGTGTTGTTTTCAAGCTCTGGTCATTTTACACATAACAAGAGTGGCCCTTTTCAGATTTTATTTTTGTCCAATTTTATGCTGATCTTTAATGCTAAAATTTATTTATTTTTAATACAATTAAAATGATTTTATTTTTATTTTACTTATTTTTTTCTTATAATATAAACTGAACTGAACTCTGAGAGAGAGAGAGCAAAAGAGAGAGATCATAAAAAAAGACAAAGAAAATAAAATGCATAAATAAAACTAATAAAAAACTGTTCGGTGTGAAGCAAGAGCCCTTTAAAACTGACTCATGAAAGAAAGGCGCAAAACATGACAGACAAACACAGAAAGGAACAAAACCAAAATAGCAATCCTCTGAAATCCTCAGGAATCACATTGAAAAACATCTCGTCATGTGTTATTCTACAAGAAGTGAAGCACTCAAGGACACGTCGTAATTAAGAAAAAAGAAAAAAAAATCTGAGAAATGCTCCCGAGCTATTCTTCATCTAGAGGCAGATGGAGAAGAAAAGCTGAAGAAAATCGAGCCCGTGGGCACGGCAGGTGTGAGTCAAACTATTATGAAACTTTCAAAATGGCATGGCCTCCCCTGCGGGCCGCATGTGCGCTCATGTGCGTCTCAAACGCCCTTGGAATGAAGTTATGATGATTTCATTTTAGTGCCGTGCACAAATGTGGCATAATTGAGAGCGAGTGGGCGATAATTACAGCCCGGGCCAATGTTACGAGGTAAAGCACGCACCCGTTAACACGCCCCCGGATATTTTGGGCATGTTAAGCACGTCTGTCGTACCTGAGGGTCTGCGGATGAAGATCTCGGCCCAGCCCTGCGTCAGCATGGGCACAAACTCAGCCAGGCTGAACTTATCTTTGAGCAGCGCTGAGGACTGGGAGGAGGAGGGTGCCGGGTGCTCCTCCACTCCCCTCTGAGACCCCAGCACCTCCAGCAGGGGGCCCGGCGGAGGCAGCGGGCCGCTGTACTCGCCCTCAGGAGACGCCACCAGCGGACTGAGACTCTGAGCCGGACCGGCCCGCAGAGCGTGACCACCTGGAGAGAGAATGAAAACGCTTAAAGGGATAGTTCACCCAAAACTTAAAATTACCCCATGATTTACTCACCCTCAAGCCATCCTAGGTGTATATGACATTCTTCTTTCAGACAAATACAATTGGAGTTATATAATTAATAATTCATCAGGCGGTCTATGTTTGTAACCTGGTAATGTCCAGGTTAATCCATGCTTTATAACGGGAGTGGATGGTAGCCCAAAATTTGAAGTAGAAATATTTTTTTTTTTTAAATCGCACCCATCCATTATAAAAGAAGTCCACACGGCTCCAGGGGGTTAATAAAGGCCTTCTGAAGCAACGCAATGCGTTTGTGTAAGAAAAATATACATATTTACAACTTTATAAACCTTAATCTCTAGCTTCCGCTAACTGTCGTACACATGTTCACAAGAGAGTGGCGTCCAGCGGATTATTATTTATTCATTATTTATTCAGAATTTGAATTAGCTCCTATTTTTATATTTCATTTCAATTTGAGTTTAAGTAATTTTGTTGTGTGCTTTTGTTATTTTTATTAGTTTTGTTTTTAATATTTTATTTAGCTTTAATTTATTTATTTGAGTAATTTTAGTATTTCAATTTAAATTTTATTTCAGTTGTTTCTAATTTAGAAAATGTACGTTTTTTTTTATTTAAAGTTTTTTTTTATATTTATATTTGATTTTGATTTCATTTACAGACTTTTTGAAGCTTGAAAGTTTTGAACACCACTGACTTTTATAGCTAAAGAAGTTTCAAAATATCTTCATTTGTGTTCCACAGATAAAAATCATACAATTTTAGAATGAACAGAGGGTGAGTAAATGATGACAGAATTGGCATTTTGAGTGAACTATCGCTTTGAGATTGTAATTTCATGTACGACTGGCCATATATTTACATATCTACATTAAGTATTCAACAGCTTGGCTGAGGAACTGCTTTCATACGGAAGGCTAGACAGTAAATAAAGAAGTCATTTACATATAGAAGTCTTAAAGGTTACAGTAGCCAAAAGTGGAAAATGGTCAAAAACTTTTAAGAGCAAGAAAAGCTCAGGGAAAGTGTGTGTGTGTGTGCGCACTGTCACCTGATACGGAGCGGACACGTGTGCGAGTGCTGGAGCCGATCTGCTGGCCGGACTGTGACTCGAGTTTAGCAGGAGCCTCTTTCGTCTGTCGGGTGTGTAATGAGGGGTCAGACCTACAGGAGGATTCATGTTTGTATTTGTTTTTATGTTTTCCCATGAATCTGATGAGACCAGTAAACAGTCATATGGTTGAGGCTGATCCTTTTCCTGTTTGTGTCGAAACATTCATGAACTATCCCTTTAAAACACATCTAACAATGCCAAAAAAAATCATATTCCAGGGTTAGAGTTAGTCTAAAGTACAGAACAAGAAGTGAATAAAAGGTATTTTCAGAAAGTACGGTGGCAGTACTTTTAAATGTACCAATGCACTTCATACCAAGATACCTTTAAAAAAATACTATGGTAATACCACGCTAAAGTAATAGCCTATAGTAACTAGGGTTGCAAAAAGGTGGGAAATTTCCAGTAAATTTCAGAAATATTCCAGAACTTTTGGAAACTTTCCAGGATTTTTTTTTAATATTCCAGGGATTTGGGGAAATTTTCCAGAAGTTTTCCACCCCTTTGCAACCCTAATAGTAATAGCCTGAACCTCATTGGCTGGTGACAAACAAGGCGGTCTATGTTTGTAACCTGGTCATTCCTCCTCCTCCAGGTCTCTCTGCCATGTCCAGACCCAGAAGGGCTTGGGTTCGTGACCCGCCGCTGGTCGTTATGGTGACTAACTTATTCCCAACCAGCCAAGTCATACTGGGGCCACCGGATAACAGGAACTCTGCAATGGGAGACCTGAGCGAGAGAAAAAGAGTTTGTAAAGCCCATTAATCATCTTTATTTAGTGTCACACAGAGCCACAGGACACTGGAGATGCTATTGTGAAAAAAAAACACTTACACATCCATTTCTGACAAGAGTTTGCTGCTCGTATGCTAAAAGTAGATGCTACACTTCCCAAAACAACTGGTCGAATAAGAAAATGGGTTGATGGGTCCATTCACACAGAGAGCGAAACAACTATTGTAAGACAGACTGACAAAGAAGTTTACTCTGGTACAAAAGGTGAATCGATGCAGCGTTCAATGGCCTGGATTCGTCATACACGACAGAGATGAAAGCCAAGTACTATTTAAAGGTTTGCACACAGACACCGAACAAAAGGATGAAGGTCAAGCAATTACAGCTCTACCCAAGTGTGTAAACCAACCTAAAATGAAAGAAAGAGAAAAAGCAGAGACAACAGCAGCTCTGCGTGCAGCTTCAACGCATCTATTCATTTAGCAGACACTTCATTTCAATGTGACTGACAAATGAATGAAATTACAATTATTTTAAAGTCAGATGGTAAAACAGCTTTTGGTGCATTGACAGACCCTAAAAGACTGGTTAGTCAGTTTTGGTTGGCATAAATAAGAAAAAAAAATGACTTACATAATAGGAAAAAAATATTTGTATTGTTTTAGTACTGTTAGTCACATTTTCTTTTTATTTTTTTTATTTTTTTTTAAACATGACAAAAAAAATGTACACAATTACTCACTGTTTCAGTTTTTAAGTAGATCAATTACTATTACTATTTTAAATAATATTATTTAATTACATTTAAATTTTAAACATCAATTGCTAACTGTTTAAAGGCAGCTGTTATTATTATTATTTATTTAATTTTAAAATGCACATTAATAAAAAAACATTTAAAAAAGTTAACACAATTACTCATTGTTTCAATTTTTAAACATCAACAATTAACTTTCAGTTTTAAGGCAACTATTTTTATTATTATTATTTTTCATTTTATTTTAAAAATACTAATACTAATTACTTCAGCAATTGTAGGACAATTGTCAATTTAATGTATTAATTTAGTGCAATTAATATTATTATTACATTTTGTTTTAATATATAATTTATAAGTGTTAAATCAGGAGCAATGATTGTGTTTTTTTCATTAATTAAAAGAATCAAATATATGATTATTAAATTAATCATGTCTCCTGATTCAACGCTGTATCTGACATGATAACGTAACGTTTTGAATTTTACCTTCAATTACTGGCTTTTCTAATCAAATATTGATATTCAACTGCAAATGTTGAAGCATTAATTGTGAGTAATTTAACTGTTCATTTGATTAAATTAGGGCTGTGAATACAAACGACTTCTAAAAGTCAGTCTAGTTTGTGGTGAACAGGCATCACCTCTTGGGCAGGGCAGAGAAGTTGGAGAAGACGTATCGCGCCATCATGTCCAGACAGGTCTCCGTCAGCTCCAGGTGGACGGTCTTCAGCGCGTCATCCGCCTGCATCACCGTGTTCTCGTCAGCCGAGCCCAGGCTGCAGGTGGTGCTGGACGTCTGCATCCTGGGTCAGGGGTCACACACAGGCATCAGGGTTACAGCCGGCACAGGAGAGGTCACAGAGGTCAAAGAGTGCTCCACTTGGCTTGGAGGTCAGATTCACAACCAGCTCAAACTGGTACTAGTTAAGTCAGTGGTGACAGCATCTCAGCTAGTCTCTGACACGGCGTCCTAACCAGAATTTCGAACCACTGACTGATTCAGATTCAGATTCATTTAATTCAGATTCATCTGATTCAGATTCTGACATTATACTGTGGGCGGAGCTACACAGTCTTCATGCTTGTCAGGATTGCAATTGATCAGCATATACATTTTTCACTCGTCACGGCTGGTTAGAACACAGTGTGAAGCTTGAGATGAGAGTGTGTGAGTGTGTTTGTGAAGTTGATTAGATGCCAGAGTGTCAGCGGGTAATAAATCAGATACAGATGTTGAATGAAGCTGAATTGGCCAACCAAAAACAAACACACATGCAGTTAAAACACAGAATCACACTCCTTAATTAATCAAATTATGTGAGTTTCCTTTGCTTAAAGGAATCGTTCACCCCAAAATTACTCACTCTCTAGTGTTTTGTTACCCAAAACTAAAATAAAGCTGAAATAAAATCAAATATTAATATTTGATAAAACAAAATAAATTAAGTTGTAAAATAAGTACTAAAATTAAGTTCAATAAATGAAATATGTGAAAATAAATTAAAGCAAAACAGAAATATAAAAAACTATTAAAACTGACAAACTTGGCAAATAAAATTTTTACATGTAAAACTAAAATTACAAAGAAAACTGTAAATATAAAAAAAGCAAATTGAAACAATTAATACATACTTGCATATAAATAATACTAATATAACACTCTAATACTATTCTAATTAATTAATTAATCTATTTATTTATTATTTTTGTTGACTAAAAATAAACTATTAACATCTTTTTGTTAACTGAAATAAAGGTATACACATATTAGATAAAAACTTAAATTTTCAAAAATAATTTGAAATGTTGCCTTGGCAAATAACTGAATCACTGAAATTACTAACTGGAAATAAATAAAAACTAAAACTGAATAAAAACTAAAACTGAAATAAAAATCAATTAAACCTATAAATAAATATATAAATGAAAACAATAGCACATAACAAAATTATAAATTAGTACAATTAAAATTACATTTAAATGAAAAAATAAAAGCTAAGGTACAATATTACTAAAAACAATGATTATATATAATTTGTACTAAAATAACACTGAAACAGACAGAAATGTAAATAATTATTCACTGTAAACCTCGTTCAGGCTTTCTCTCTCTCTCTCTCCACTGTGTTGTGACCAATTATGTTGCGTTAGTTGGAATATGCATGAATACGAATGAATTTTCATTTTTGAGTGAAGGATTCCTTTATCTGTTTTTAACTGAAGCTCTTTCTGTTTCTCTTTTAGTGACACAAAACTGGGACTGTAATACTGACAAACCTTGAGCAGGGGGGGGGAAGAGAGAGAGAGAGAGAGAGAGAGAGAGAGAGAGAGAGAGAGAGAGAGAGAATGGCTGTTTAACACACACCCCTAGAAAACTAGAAAAGTCAGCTTGCGATCCACACACACACACACACACACACCTGCAGAGAGCCGTGTGATTATCCAGGTGATGACATTAATCTAAGACAACTTTCAGCATCCTGCCCTTCTGTAACCATGGCAACCGCACCCCCCGGGGAAATCAAGCAAGCCCACATCATCTCCATACACTCAGATGACACGCACGCCAACCTGCGTCAACACACACCGCTGCTGAGCTAAAGCGCTTCTGACTGCTACATCGACTCGCTGACCCTGACAAACAGGAGAGAGAGAGAGAGAGAGAGAGAGAGAGAGCATGGCTGTTTAACACACACCCCTAGAAAAGTTCAGCTGTCAGCTTGCGATCCACACACACACACACACACACCTGCAGAGAGCCGTGTGATTATCCAGGTGATGACATTAATCTAAGACAACTTTCAGCATCCTGCCCTTCTGTAACCATGGCAACCGCACCCCCCGGGGAAATCAAGCAAGCCCACATCATCTCCATACACTCAGATGACACACACGCCAACCTGCGTCAACACACACCGCTGCTGAGCTAAAGCGCTTCTGACTGCTACATCGACTCGCTGACCCTGACAAACAGGCACAGGTGAACAACTCATTATCACGACACACACAAGAAAAGCCACAGTCCTGGAGCGCGTGTGTGTGTGTGTGCCAAACAGTGTTGCCAATGAGTAACATTTTTACCTGCTGGATGATTAAAGATATCAAAAATTTCCCTTACTGCTCTTATGTGTGATGAGATGCATAAGGAGAAATCCAGACGGACAATGAAGAGGGACTACTCAGCAGTTTTACTGAACACTACACAAAGTAAAACACATGACGATTTCAAAATAATAATAATTTTTTTTTAAATAAAATACAAAATAAAAACGATATAAAAAAACTAGCTGCAAGCAAAAATGGCGGGCCCAAGCAGCTCCGCCACCCCGGTGGCATGAGGAAAACAGTGCACAGCGGGCACAAGCATTTACAGTAACCCTCTGGCAGTCTGGGTTTAAGGATCACAGCAATGAAAAGGTTACACTTTAACATCAAGAGTGTGAAACACACACACACACACAAACAAACAAACAAACAAAGGGACCATATATAAAACTTTGGTTACACTTTACAATAAGGTTTCATTTGTTAACATTAACTATATTAGTAAACATGAACAATATTTATATAGCATTTAATAATCTTAGTTAATATAAAGTGTAAGTTATACTAATACATTATTAATTAAAATTTAAGTTGTATCTGTTAACATTAGTTAAGGTACCATGAACTAAAAAGAACATGAACATTTTTATTAACTAACATTAACAAATATTAATAAATGCTGGAAAAATATTTTGCCTCCCCAATGTCTTGAAGTCATGTTGACCGAGTTTGGTGGCAGAGATTGGATGAAAACCCTAGGAGGAGTGTCGCAAATTCAACAGCATGCGCTTTTCACAAAACCCTAAATAGCCGACTTCCTGTTGGGCGGAGCGCTGATTGTCAGCACAAAAGTTGTTCAGCCTGATGAGATATTGATATATATATATAAATAATCTTCTTGGAGACTCCCTGATAATTATTGTTTCTGATTTTTTATATATTAATAATATATAAAATGAATGGTAACACTTCAGTTTAGGGACCAATTCTCACTATTAACTAGTTGCTTAATAGCATGCCTATTATTAACATATTGACAATTTATTAGTACTTATAAAGCACATATTTTGCATGACCATTTTCTACATCCCTAATCCTACTCCATACCTAAACTTAATTACTTCACTAACTATTAATAAGCAGCAAATTAGAGGAATTTATTGAAGCAAAAGTCGTAGTTAATAGTGAGAAATGGACCTGAAAAAAAGTGTGACTAAATTAATAAATATGAATGATAATAAAAACAAATAATAATATAAAATTAATAGAACTGACAACTGATCATTTAAATATGAACAATTTTGGTCCAACATGTTTAGTTTCAGTGAAGAATTTAAGTGCATCAGTTTCTAGCAACCACCTAATACACCTTACAGTAATTGTATAGCAACCACTCACAGCATTCTATAGAAACATGCTTCAAAACCACCCAGAACACTGCAGTAATCTCATAGCAAATGCATTAAAATCCATCTAGATTACCGTAGCTCACTAAAAATCATCCAGACCCTCATCACACCTAGCAACACATTAGCAACCACCCTGAATCATGATGACAATTACACATCTGGCACTGCGCTTCTACAACTGAGGTATGCTAAGCCAAACTGCATGAGCATGTAATCAACAAAAGGCCATTTTCATTTCATCTCAACGGGGAACGAGGGATGAACGTGGAGGAAATGTGGGCGTTAGAGATGAGAAACACGCAGACAAAAAACAGGAACATATATTCCAGAGTGTCAGTGTGACCCACGTCATCCGATGCTTCATAAACCAACACAACATCTATCACGATAAAAACTATATTCTGTCTTCATAACATCTCACAAGCAATGACATACTGATACAAAAACACATTATCTTGGGTGTGCAAAAGGGACACAGGATTGAGCCTGGCCTTTCTCTGCCTGTGCTTTCCTGTCACTCCACTATCCCATTTAATAAAAGGGAAAAAACAACTAATATTTATTTAAGCCACAAAATATGTAAATATAAAATTTATTTTCAAAAATTATTTTGGAATATATTTTCAAAATATTGTATAGTCATTTATTTTGTATTTACCTTATTTAATTAAATTATAAAAATGTTACATTTATATTTTTATTTCAATTATAATTATAGTTTTACTAATTATATAAACACCTTTAATTATTTCACGTTTTTGTAAAAGCTTTTGCTCAAATGAAAGTAATTCTCTAAAATAAATAAACTCTAATATTCTCGAATATAAATACATATCAAATGGCACATATTTAAAGGCAATTTCCAGCAAATTACGTTCACGTTTTAAGGCATTTTAACCAATTTTATAAGGAAAAGGAGATTTAAATAATTTCATTTTTTCACAGTTACTGTAATGCAATACAATTTATGTAAATATGGGAAAGCAATAATTTTAAAGGTAATAGACATTACATTTACCACAGACATTTTAACATGAAACTAGTGTGACAGAATCACTTACTTTTCTTTTGTAAAAAAAATTTAAAATAAATAAATAAAAATCAGGCAGCACAATTTTGCATTTAAACCCCAAGCACTTCCACTGAAAGTGTGTTACTGTAAACACAGCCTGATGAAAGGGTCAGAGTTATTTTCTGTAGTAATTGACAAATGCTGTCGATAGAGATTAGCTCAATCTGATCGCTCAAGGCCACAACTGACTTTTTCCTCACCAGAATCGATCCAACAACCTTCTGGTTAGCCGTCCTGAGCCTCAACCACCACACCAAACCAAATCACTCGAGCGTCTCTCAACAGGGCCATTCAGCACATAAACACACACAACAAACTCACACAGACAGGAAAGTCCCAGTTTGTGTCTTTACATGTGATCGTTGAGCAACTCTTCAGCTGAAGTGGACGCCTCAAGTTTAAAACACATGAATTACAATGCTTTAATGTCCAAAAATTCTGCATAACTGTTTGCACTTAAAATGCATACAATTTCAAATTTCAATCGAACCAAGAATCTGTTAAATTTTTCCAACTGCACAAAATCTCCATAAAGTCTGAATCCTGAGCGTCCAGTACAGCTGATCATAATACCAAACCCTTTTATGAACATTATGATATCCTCTAAACAATTTGCAACACAAACATCTTTTCACTGCCGTGTCACACAGAGAAAACGTTTCACTGTTCACCGGCTCTTCACATGCACATCAAGCCCTCAATCATTTCTATTAGCTGCAGTCGGATGATTGGTGATGTCTGCTGAATAAATAATGCGCTTTGTTGATGAAATTTTACTCTACTGATGCATTAAGCGATGACAGAGCTGAATATTAATGCGTGGAATAGTGACTGCAGTACAAATCTTCACCCGATAGCAATTAGTATTGGATTCTTTTAGAGGGAGAAATGAAAAAGTTTCACTTTTTATGAGTTGATCTCATTAAAAACGCAAAACTGAAGCCGTATATTTTCTTCATATTGACTTTCAATGCAGGAAGAGTCAAATCACTTGAGATTTAGGGCAAGTTCGGCATTATTAGCTCGCTTTTTTTCGCCAGTGTCGCCAAGAATGCCATTACATCATAACGAGCAACCTTGAAACAACCCAAACAAAAGCTCTTGGCACAGAAATACTTTAGGCAATTAGTAAACCAATGACAAGGTCATTTGCAGAGATACTAGATAATAAAACAAATATGCCGTATGAAGTCCCTGTGCTTGCTAATAGCAGATGCTCGATTCATTAACATCCTGTAACTTGGAGGCGCTGAACTGATTAATAGGTTTTATGGTAATTCGATGCACTGGGTTAATAAAACACAGAAGTTTGAAGACAAATATTACTCCCTCTGCCAGGACGCAGCTGTCAATTGTCTGGTGCTATGCTGCCGTCTGCTGGTTATGTGTGGTGCAGCAATATGTTAATGAGCTCAGTATTTATATATATGCAAATGAAAACAAAGCTGTGAGGGAAAGTTTGTTGTGTGGAAAACAACAGATTGTATTTTGTAGTATGGAAAATGTGTAATTGTTTAATACAAGAAAGGAATTCCAATGGGTTTGAAATGACATTAGGTAAACGTATGACAACAGAATTCATGTAAGCTCTGAAAAAAAATGTAATCAATTGTTTTTATTGGGTAGAAAACAAACCATGGAGGAACAGCATTTGAAGAGTGTGACAGTGAAACATTTTCAGCATGTTCGCAGCGTATTATTGTGCAACTTTTTGTTCATGATTCAAAACGCAGTATGATAAAACGTGAATGGATACTGTACCTGGATCATGTGTAAAGAGTGTGTGAATATGATGTGAATAAGTGAAGATTAAAACAGGCCCAGAGAGGCAGCAGGCTGAGCACGTGGAGGTCACCCCCTAGTGGCTGGGAGCTGAATTACTGCCGTCCATCTCATACAACAAACGGCAAAGACAGAGAAGCTAGTCGCTCGATTGTGTAATCGCCTACTTTCAATTGCGCATGCTTCCTGTGTGCGGTACAGAGCCCTTAAAGGGACATGGAGATGGAAAAAATGGGATGGGATATATTTCAATGCACATGCTTTAGTTTTTTGCTAAGTTTATCAGAGGAACGTAAAAATTTTGCGTGAATGCAAAGTTACTCTGGGGAACGCAAACATTTGCGAGAGAAAGTTTTGCATGTGAATGCAATGTTTCTCTCGTAAAAGTATTGTGTTCCCCCAAGAAACTTTGTTCGCTTGTAAAAGCGCTGAAACCGTTTCTCCTCCCACCTCATTATTCATCGCAAACATTTTACGAGCACACTATTATTTTTTTTAGATAACGCAACAGTTGTTACAAGAGAATGTAAAAGTTTTGCAAAGCAAATGCAAAGTTCCATGGGGAATGCTCGATTTTTGTGAAAGAATGTAAAAGTTTTGCGAGAAAATGCGAAGTTTCTTGGGCAACACAAACGTTTTGGGAGAGAACGCACAACCATTGAAATATAACACAATGTTTCTCGAGAGCACACAAAAGTTTTGCAGACAAAACACAAAAGCATTCAAATATTTTTCCTCCCGTCTCTTTTTTTCCATCACCATGTCCCTTTAGGGACTCCGTAATACGGCCATTTGTTCGCAGAAAAAAAACACCATCACAAACAGCACAATAAGCATGGTAAAAGCAAAAACAAAACGGGGTTAGGTTGAAATCAAAACAGATGCTCGCAAGGCTCAGCGCATGCAGTCAACATTACCATCAATGAAACGAAAGAAAACGACAAAACCCTCCTCCAGCATGCACCCTTTCCTGCCCAATCAGAATTAGCCCAAACCAGATGTCCACGCCCACCCCGCATCACCAAGACAACGCCCCGCCCCGAATGCCCAAGCCCCACCCACCGACCCTGCATACAGAAAAGGAAAAGCAGGGATATCAATCGGTTGTTGAGTTTTGAGGTGACCAAAAATGCTCTACCTGCGCACCGCATGCTCAGACACACTGATGCTTCGGGAGCGGAAGGCGTCCATGGCCGACAGATCTTTCAGGTCTTTAACGGGAGAGTTTGCACTGGGGCCTTGCTTCGCCACTTTGGTCGTCCGCAAACTGCCCCGAGGGCAAACGAGGTCAGGTGTGTGCCAGCATAGCGTCGTGACCAGGGAGGGTTGGGGGGAATTTGGGGCATTTTAACCATGTCAGCATGGGTGGATGGGGGAGTGCGATTGGTTGTGGAGTGTCACGAAAAGGGACAGCGACCAATCACAGGTGAAGGATCCGAGGTGTCGGCACCCCCCCAAACCACACCCACCACGCATGGCCCAATCAGAGGAGAGGGGAGTGGTCAAATAAGGAAGTGAAAGGAAAACAAAATAACTTGGTCAGCAGTGCACACTGAGAACCAGAAAACATGGACGACACTTAAAAACTAAAAGTAAAGGAGGAAACAGAAAACTGGAAGGAGAAACAGCATAAAAAAGATCAAAAGACACATAAGGCATAAAGTAAGCAATATACTGTCAGCACTCTACGAAAGGAAGTGAAAGAGGTGAATATAAATGAAAAACTCATCAGAGAGCACAAACATAATGGTACAGGGAAGAAAAAAAGCATTCAGACACTGCTATAATCATTATACTGGAAATTAATAGCAATAGGAAAAGAGTGATATGATCATGTGTATGTGTGTGATTTAATACAGCAAATAAAACACAAATGAATGACCGGATGGGGTGAAACTAGAAACTGGAACAGAGAATGTAAGGCCTGGAAAACTAGAAAGATCATTAAAAAAAAATGAAAATCTATACCAAGATGGTCCGTGCGTAGTATGTGTTAGGTATGTAGACATGCACAGTACGTGTCGATTTTAAAGGCAAGCGCGAACAAACATACACAACAATGGCGGAGTATATGGTACTGTTGTTGCTGCTCAAGAGTTTGCTAACGCTTCTTCAGCAAAGTGTGGATTTACTTCACCAATATTACAACCAACAGCGGAGACGCATCATATACATCATATAATCGTCACTTCCCTACAGGTGCTGTTTAATAACAAGGTGACAGCGCCAACTACTGGCCTGGCATACGTAATACAGCGCTTTTGGCCGTTTTTCACGGATATGTGTAAACACGAATCGTTTTGAAAACGTTGTCGTGTATACATAAAACTTTTTTAAAACGCAAGGGAAAAACTTTTCCGTTTTTGACCACATCGTTGTCGTGTAAACGTAGCCGAAGACTTGATCCTGAAATGAACATTTACTTGCCAGCCTCTGACCTAAAATATTTACTTTGTTTAATCATTTAACAGCACATTTGCATTTTCAGTCTTCTGATTTTGGTTAATGGTCGCATGGCTTACAGGTAAACAAATAAAATATTTAATCTTTTTTTGTGTTTTATTATGATTGTTTTATTTAAAATGTATTTTTATTGGAAATTATGCAATTACTAGTTTTTTACCAACCTGTCAACCCCAGTACTTCCGTAATCAATCAATTCTGAAACGGCGATCATTTAAATAATTTGTACAGTAATTTTTTCTACTCTTGAATGATGCTCATTCATGTTATTAACTCCATGGCCGACAGATCTTTCAGGTCTTTAACGGGAGAGTTTGCACTGGGGCCTTGCTTCGCCACTTTGGTCGTCCGCAAACTGCCCCGAGGGCAAACGAGGTCAGGTGTGTGCCAGCATAGCGTCGTGACCAGGGAGGGTTGGGGGGAATTTGGGGCATTTTAACCATGTCAGCATGGGTGGATGGGGGAGTGCGATTGGTTGTGGAGTGTCACGAAAAGGGACAGCGACCAATCACAGGTGAAGGATCCGAGGTGTCGGCACCCCCCCAAACCACACCCACCACGCATGGCCCAATCAGAGGAGAGGGGAGTGGTCAAATAAGGAAGTGAAAGGAAAACAAAATAACTTGGTCAGCAGTGCACACTGAGAACCAGAAAACATGGACGACACTTAAAAACTAAAAGTAAAGGAGGAAACAGAAAACTGGAAGGAGAAACAGCATAAAAAAGATCAAAAGACACATAAGGCATAAAGTAAGCAATATACTGTCAGCACTCTACGAAAGGAAGTGAAAGAGGTGAATATAAATGAAAAACTCATCAGAGAGCACAAACATAATGGTACAGGGAAGAAAAAAAGCATTCAGACACTGCTATAATCATTATACTGGAAATTAATAGCAATAGGAAAAGAGTGATATGATCATGTGTATGTGTGTGATTTAATACAGCAAATAAAACACAAATGAATGACCGGATGGGGTGAAACTAGAAACTGGAACAGAGAATGTAAGGCCTGGAAAACTAGAAAGATCATTAAAAAAAAATGAAAATCTATACCAAGATGGTCCGTGCGTAGTATGTGTTAGGTATGTAGACATGCACAGTACGTGTCGATTTTAAAGGCAAGCGCGAACAAACATACACAACAATGGCGGAGTATATGGTACTGTTGTTGCTGCTCAAGAGTTTGCTAACGCTTCTTCAGCAAAGTGTGGATTTACTTCACCAATATTACAACCAACAGCGGAGACGCATCATATACATCATATAATCGTCACTTCCCTACAGGTGCTGTTTAATAACAAGGTGACAGCGCCAACTACTGGCCTGGCATACGTAATACAGCGCTTTTGGCCGTTTTTCACGGATATGTGTAAACACGAATCGTTTTGAAAACGTTGTCGTGTATACATAAAACTTTTTTAAAACGCAAGGGAAAAACTTTTCCGTTTTTGACCACATCGTTGTCGTGTAAACGTAGCCGAAGACTTGATCCTGAAATGAACATTTACTTGCCAGCCTCTGACCTAAAATATTTACTTTGTTTAATCATTTAACAGCACATTTGCATTTTCAGTCTTCTGATTTTGGTTAATGGTCGCATGGCTTACAGGTAAACAAATAAAATATTTAATCTTTTTTTGTGTTTTATTATGATTGTTTTATTTAAAATGTATTTTTATTGGAAATTATGCAATTACTAGTTTTTTACCAACCTGTCAACCCCAGTACTTCCGTAATCAATCAATTCTGAAACGGCGATCATTTAAATAATTTGTACAGTAATTTTTTCTACTCTTGAATGATGCTCATTCATGTTATTAACAAAACATAGAGAGTCTAAATTTGGGTTACACTTTATTTTGATAGTCCACTTTAGACATTCTACTAACTAAATGTCAACTACATGTCAACTAATTCTCATTCATTTGCAACTACATGTCTACGAACTCTCAGAGTAGACTGTAAGGGTAGGTTTAGGGTTAGTAGAATAAGTTGACATATACTTGCATAGTCAGTATGTTGTATGTTGTGGACCCATCAAAATAAAGTGTTAGAAGATATTTAGCAGACAGTTTACTAATACTCTAATGACTGCTAGTTGACATGTAGTTGCAAAGTTACTTACTGTTAGTAGAATGTGGACTATCGAAATAAAGTGTTACCTAAATTTGATTTGTATGACTAAATTTACATAAACATCTGAATATTCTTGTGCATGTAAATGGTTGATCTTTCTCTTTTTCAGGCTTTTCATTCAAAGCTCCAGCTCCAGACTTACAAAAGAACACTGGTGGTTTCCACAGAAAATGAACCTGAAATCAGTTTTAAGACAATGAGATTAGATGGCTTTGTTGATCATGGACTCTATTAGTGATATGCCTGGAAAAACATCCTTGGTGTTACAATAATTGCACCAGATGTGCTGGTTTAAATGGTTTAGTAAGTTGTTACCATGGAAATTTCAAGTAAAGTAAACTGATTTATGGGACAGTGGCCAATTTCACACCAAATACAAAAAGTGAAATCAAGAAAAGCGAAAACAGAGAATGAATGAAATAGAAATAGAAAAGAATGCTTATTGTAAGAAATAAAGGGGAACTAATAAGGAATAGGAAAGAAAAGATTTGCTTCAGTTCAAATCCAGATGTTAGTAGGCAGGACTGTTACCTCTAGTTTTTTGGACCCTTTGTTAAACATCATATGACTAGTTATTTCAACTATTACAGGCTGGGACACTGGCTCATTATTAAATATCAACAAGTTTTTAGAGATGTGTGTACGGTTTGTATTCAGGTGTTTCTTCAACTATGGGAAGTTTAGTCCTTTTCGAAATTAAACTCCATTAAAACACAAGTTTTATACTCGTTAATTTAATTTGTCCACTAATAATTCTAATGTTTAACAGTTGATAAACACACTGCTTTCATGAACCCTCACAAAAATTTCCACCACAGCGTCATTTCATCACAAATCATAATTAATCATAATTCTGTGGTGGAAATTAGCCATTTTTTTACATATATATTTTGGAATAAAACCAAGAAAAGACCAAAAAATATATAGCAAGCATTTGACGCATCCTTAACATTTTTAGACCGTCAAAATTACAGTTTTATCGAAAATGCACAAAAAAATGTTTTAAAATATAAAGAAATATATTTATAAATATACTGCATTTTGCAAAATCCATAGCTTTCCCAAAATCAATAAATACACACAAATACACAAAATAAATATTAAAATATCTTCAAAGTTTGAAACATGCAATAATCTTTTTTTAATGATATATATATTTTTAATTAAAAACATAAAACCATAAAAGGCATTTGAAAAGTATCAAAACTAAGTCTTGCTAAAAAAAAAGTTATAATGTGACCTTCATATAGCAAAAAAGAGAAAAGTCGAAATCTATTAGTCTGAATAAAAATCAATCCCTGGGACATAAACTGTCCTTAGTTGAAGAAACAGTCTTTCATAAATGAACGTGTTAATGCTTTCGATGTGACAGTCTGCCTGTGAGAAACAATCACCACTGAGACAGATGATGAGAGAAAGAGAGAAACACAGAGAAATAAATGAGACCGATAAGATGAGGAAAGCAAAAGAGACGTCCCACAGTCAAACTAGCATCCGTGAGAGGATGTGAAAACTCAGCTGATGTTCTGACATAATCAGACAGATAAAGCCAGAAATCACGACACTGCCATCAACAACTAAAAAAAATGAACCAATGAGGCGCCTGAATGACAATCATGTTTTGAGTCCTTCCCACGGCAAAACCTAACATGAGACAAACAATGATCCGGCCCTGCGTGAGTGTGTGTGTGTATGTGTGAGAGAGAGAGTGAGAGAGTGTGTGTGTGAGAGAGAGAGAGAGTGTGTGTGTGTGTGTGTGTGTGTGTGTGAGAGAGAGAGAGAGAGAGAGAGAGAAAGAGAGAGAGAGAGAGTGTGTGTGTGTGTGTGTGTGTGTGTGTACCTCTTAGGCCTCTCGTTCAGGCTGGTGCTGCGTGCTCTAAAACTGCTCTGCTCGTGAGTGTCATCGAACGGCAGAAGAGCGTTTGAACGGAGACCCTAATCACACATAAAAACACACTTCACCTCAAGAGCAACAGATCAGCCAGTCTGTAAACACATGAGCCCGACAATCCCATCACCCACCTTGGTGATGTACTGAACGAAGTCTTTCCTGAAAGGCAGTCTGCAGCGTATGAACCACATGGCGATCACATGATGGGCGAGAGACACTATGTACTGATTAAACCTACAGAGAATGGAGAGAAAACAAAAAAAACACATCATTTAAAATCAATCTGCCTTTGAAATAAAAGTCTCATATGCTCACAGAGGCTGCATTTATTTGATTAAAAATACAGTAAAATCAGTAATATTGTGAAGTATTATTACAAATGAAAATATATGTTTTCTATGTGAATATATTTAAAAATGTAATTTATTTCTGTGATCAAAGCTGAATTTTCAGCATCATTTTATTTGAAATAGAAGTCTTTGGTAACATTCTAAATAATCCTCAAGAAGTCAAATATGTAATTAAGAAAAATGCTGGCTAAATATACTGTCTGATTACTTAGTGTGTGTGCGTGCGTGTGTGTGTGTGTTAGTTCACAGCTGTGTATGAACATACTCACTTTGAGGGGTTGGTGTATGGCAATGATATGGCAAACACGCTAACGTACTGCTCAGCTACGAAGTTAGCATACAGATGTGGGAGCCGCACTAATGCTAAGAGAGAGTGACGAGACAAAAAGCATCAGTAATTGAGCTGTATTTGATCCAGAAGTGTCGTTTTAAATGTAGAATGTATACTATATTCTGATTGGTCAGAGTGAGTGAGGCTGTTCTGATTGGTCAGACGGTGAGAATGGGCGGGGAAAACCAAAAAAGGCTTGCACTCACTGGACAGGAACTCCAGCATGGGTGAGGCCATAGCAACGGTTGCCGAGATGTGCGTGAGCTTGACGATGAGGGCAGGCAGGAGTTTGATCATGATGTCGGGCATCTCTACGGTGCACATGGTCAGAGCCACCACACACTGCTTAGCACAGCGGTAAATCAGGCCCTTCTCCAAACACTGAACCAGCTCCCTCTGAGACAGCAGCGAAAAACATGCACAAAAAGCTGTGCTATAAACACATTTATCCAATAAATTCCTAGATGTGCATCTGATGATTGCACATCTACTATCACCTCCTGAACTGTCTGATACGCTGTCACTCCAGAGATCAGACATCTGCTGCCAACTGAATAATACATTAATACTTAGAAATAAGAATAAATTAATAAATGAAAAACACATTTATAATAAATACATTTAAATAAATAAATACATTTACATGTACTTTAAGAATAAATTTAGGTAAATGTTTATGTTAAATTTAAAAATTATATTTAATAATACACTTTAATTTCATTTAGTTTAAATTTAATAATACATTAAAGTAAATGTACACTTAATTTAAATGTAATAAAGTTTAAATAAACACATTTGATTTAAATGTAGTAATACATTTAAATATATGTGTACTTTAAATTTAACAATACATTTAAATAAATTAATATTTAATTGAAATTTAATAACAAGTTTAAATATGCTTAAATAAATGTATACTTTAAATTTAATAATAAATGTATATTTAATTTAAATTTAACAAACTGAAATAAACTTTAATTATTTACTTTTTTTAATTATAACATTTTATTTAATTCAAATGTTATACATTTTATACATTAATAAATTTAATAAATTTTACAAATTTAAAGAAATGTATACTTTAAATGTAATAATAAATCTACATAATTATATACTTCAGTTAAATGTAATATATTTTTAAAAATTCATATTTCATTTAAATTTAATAATACTTAAATAACTAATTTAAACTTATTTGATTTAAATATTTAAACAAACATATTATTACATTTAAAGTAAGTACACATTTAAATAAATTAAATTTATTAAACATATTTAAACAAAAACAATTTAACATATTTAATTTATATTCATATTTAATTAATACATTTATATTTAATTTAAGTGTAATTTTACATTTAAATAATTGTATATTCAATTTAAATTTAATAATACACTTAAATTCACGTAATTTAACTTAAGGTAACATGCAAGTTAACGCATGATAAATGTATGAACGAACGAATGAACAAACAGCCCGAGTTAAAATTGCTAGCTAAATCTAACAAAACCTTCATCCTCAAAACTAAAAGAAGAGGTGTTCATACTATGCTCTCATTTGGATAGCGAGGTACACGTGTTTGTGTCACCTGTCGGGACTGCTCCAGGTAGCTGTGGTAGGAGGTGAGGGCAGTGAGAACAGGAACCACAGCGAGCTGAACATCAGTGAGGGAGAATCCATCAGGAGTCTTCTTCAAACGCTCCGATATCAGACGGTCTGTCACCTGCACACAAACACACACACTCTCCCACATTAACTTGCTTCCACATCGTTTATTACACTGGGTTTCTGTTGTATAAGTGTGTGTAGAGTTTGTTACCATCGAGCAGAGAGTGGAGCACAGATGATCGATGTTGCACGGTGAGGTCAGGATCAGAACTTTGTACTGGATGGTGCACGACATCTTATCCAGAACCAGCTTCAGAACCTTCCAGTCAGTCTCCTGCAAACCAAACAAAGAGCTGATGTTTCACCTTTCATACCGCGGTAGTTATATTTGCGCACACAGATTGTGTTGCATTAAAACTATATGTTCGAGGAATGCTAAAACACAGGGTACAGTAAGGGAAGAGCTGTGTGAGATTGTGTACCATCTTCAGGCCCAGTAGCAGCACGCTGAAGGCCAGGCTGTAGGGCAGATAGGCAGTGCGAATGGAGGAGGGCGGAGCCACCGGTGTGGGACTTCCTGTCGGCGGCGACACACTTCCTGCTGGCTTCTTATCAGTCACTCTTTTCTCCGACTCCCTGAAAACCAGACATTTGAGATTTAGTCATCTGAATGTTCTCCTTAATAATTTATACATAACTTAAATTTTAAATTGTATATATATATATATGTAAATACATTTATACTTTCTTTAAATTTTGTAATAAATAGTCATTCTGAACATCCTCCTTTATACTTACTTTAATTTAAATAATACATTGAATGAAATGTATACTTCATTTAAATTAAATACATTTGAATTACATTTTTAAAATACATTTACATTTTGTTTAAATTTAATAATAAATTTAGTCAACCTGAATATCCTCCTTAATAATCTATACATAACTTAAATAAAAAATTGTATATATATATATATATATATATATATATATATATATATATATATATATATATATATATATATATATATACTGGAAACAGACACACCATCTCTGGAGCAGCTACTGAGAATAATCACGAGTACACTGATTAGTCCAGGTATTGTAGTACCTGTAGTATGTCTAGCAGACCCAGTATAGCGGTGCGGACATCCTCCATGGGCGACTCCACAGACAGCTCTCTCTCTCCCTCCACAGAGCACATTAACGGACGACTAGCAACCTGCAGGAGCACAGGAGCGTGTTACTCACACAAACCAGGTCTCATTCACATATTACGAATGGATACTATGATGGAAACACATTTAATGAATAAACCAATGGATGCGCATTTAAACTGCTTCAACAAGTCATGTGACTGAATCATTTGCTCTTAGAGAAAAGGCCTCTGCTGCAGATCGCTAGAAAACACTGCTACTCATTTAAGGCAAATAATAAATTCATACGTCATTTAAATGCATTCATATATTTAATTTAAATTCAATAATAGATCTATATTTATTAGTGCTGCCAAACGATTAATCGCGATTAATCGCATCCAAAATAAACGTTTTTGTTTACATAATATATGTATGTGTGCTGTGTATATTTATTATGTATATATAAATACACACACATACAGTATTTATTTAGAAAATATTTGCATGTATATACATTTATATTATATATAAATATATAAACATACATTTTTTCTTAAATATATACATGCATGTGTTTGTATTTATATATATATACATAATAAATATGTACACAGTACACACACCTATATTATGTAAACAAAAACTTTTAATTTACATTTACATTTAGTCATTTTCCAATTTATATGCGATTAATCGTTTGACAGCACTAATATTTATTTATATAAATATACATTTAATAATACATCTAAATCAAATAATATTTCATTTAAATGTACTAATAAATCTAAATAAATCAATGCTTATATTAAGTATTGATAAAGTTGTACTCAATTTAAATACTTTGTGCAAAATAAATTACAATTATACTAATTTAAAAATGTATAATAAATCTATACTTAATTAAAATATTATAATACATTAAAATAAAGTTATACTTAATTTAAATGTAATAATACATTTAAATAAATCAATACTTACATTTAATACTAGTACATTTTAATGAATCTAGCCTTTAAATTTAATAATACATTTTTAATAAGTGTAAAATTATTTATCACATTAATTGAAAATCACATTGGCTTCAACTTCCATTTCCATTTTTATTTTGCACCAATTTCCCAGGACGCGACTATTTTGTGCAAAGGTTGCTGAATTCAAAAACTCTGTATTGCATGAACTGAATCTGCAGCTGAATCAGAATCTGTTTTTTATCTAATTAAATTCTAGTTATCACATTTAACAACTTCATTATTTTTATTACCATTTCACTTGTCAACCATAGGACTACTTAAATGACCTGCAGAACATCTCGACGTACACTTTCCCGTACGCATGCAAAAATTCTATTTTTTCATTTTTAATTAAAATTTTAAACCGAAGAAAGTGGAACGCCTGCGCTTCCGTTAGTGACATCATCGGCGAGCAGCGCTACCCTCTCGATGATGTCGAGCAGGCTGCTGAAGTGGTGCGTGCTGCAGCCCTCGGCGAGATCCACCAGCAGCTGCGTGGCTTGTTTCCTGACGGACAGATCTCGATTTTCAGCGATTTGACCCTCACTTGTCAACCACAGGACTACTTAAATGACCTGCAGAACATCTCGACGTACACTTTCCCGTACGCATGCAAAAATTCTATTTTTTCATTTTAAATTAAAATTTTAAACCGAAGAAAGTGGAACGCCTGCGCTTCCGTTAGTGACATCATCGGCGAGCAGCGCTACCTTCTCGATGATGTCGAGCAGGCTGCTGAAGTGGTGCGTGCTGCAGCCCTCGGCGAGATCCACCAGCAGCTGCGTGGCTTGTTTCCTGACGGACAGATCTCGATCTTCAGCGATCTGACCCAGCTGAGGAATCACCACCACCTCGATCAGCTCCTCCTGGTCACAGAGAACACAGACGATCAAGACAAACAGCAGGGACCTCACGAACGTAAGGACATGCATGCTTGGTTTAGGACTGACCTCATAGAGCTGCCGGTTTGTGCTGAGCACGAAGGACAGGATGTGCAGAACCTTGATCCTGATCACAGTACGGCTCTCATTCCTGACACACACGGAAAGAGAGAGATGCTATTCCCAGGGTTTCGTTTCAAATGTGACTTCAGTGAATATGATGAAGTATCCAGACCTGAAGAACTTCTCCATGAGTTTCAGCAGGTTCTGCAGCCATCCGTCTTTAGCCGGCTGGATGGACTGAGCTCTGTATGATCGACAGCACGATCTCGTAGGACACCACCTCATTAGCACAGCTCATGGCCTGGGCACAGAGGTCAGAGGTCAAACACTAGTAGGTCTCATAATATATATAAAAACACAGACTGGAGGCAGATTTGTAGACACCTTGCAGAAGGAAGGCAGGACCAGTGTGGGCGTGTTTTTGAGGGCAGGAAGTCTGTGAGCTCCCCACAGGGCCATCCCAACAAAAAACACAGCACCCCTGAGAAGAGCGGCGTCCTCACTGTACACCCTACACACACACTACTGAGATCACTAGAGCTGACAACATTACAACAATTCAGCTGTTCATAACAACACTAATGATCTCAATACAAAAGCAAAAACATTGTTAGAGAAAATCTGCCTTTAAAGGTTACATATTTATTGAAATATAAACATATTAAACATATTAATTAATGTTTTTTTACATTATAAAAAAGTAATTTATTATTGTCATTGTTATTATATATACATATATATATATACACACATATGCACTCCAGCTCAAAAGTTTGGGATCAGTAAGGCTTGTAATGTTTTTTAAAGAAGTCTCTTATGCTCATCAAGGCTGCAGTTTTTATTATATATATATATATTATAATAATAATAACAACTACGATTATATAAAGTAAAAAAATTGCTAGTGAAAATCTACCTATTTTAAAATATAAAAAAATAAGTATTATTTTTATTTTTATCAATTAAACAAGTATTGTTATTATTATTATTATGAAGAAGAATATAAAAATAATATATATTTGATGTATTTATAAAAGTGTATATTTATTAAGATAATAATAATAATAATAAATATATTTATGAATTAATAATAATAATAACAACTACGATTATATAAAGTAAAAAAATTGCTAGTGAAAATCTACCTATTTTAAAATATAAAAAAATAAGTATTATTTTTATTTTTATCAATTAAACAAGTATTGTTATTATTATTATTATGAAGAAGAATATAAAAATAATATATATTTGATGTATTTATAAAAGTGTATATTTATTAAGATAATAATAATAATAATAATAAATATATTTATGAATTTATATATAAATATAGTTTTTTAATAACAATATTGTGTTGTTATTATTATTATTATTAACAACATACATTTTTATTTATATAGGGCATTTCTAAGTAGTTCTTACTAAATAAAAACTAGAGAGTAAAGAACAAAAGGAACAAATAAGAAATATAGAAAAAAAATACAGAATAAAAATGTTACTACTGAAATTAAACAAAAAGCATGAAAAACTGTGAAATCAAAAGAGTCACACATTATTTATTAGACTATTGCCACTTACAACTAAACTAAACTAAAGAACTAAACTAACTAAACCAAGAAAGTGCACATAATGTATTTTATTATAGCTTACTGACTCTCTGACCAATCACAAATCTGTCTTTGTGCTCTTCAGGAGACTACTGTAATGTTCATAACAGCTTCAGAGCTGAAACACAAGTCAGTCAGTGAGTACCTCTCCTCCATGATACGGCACATGGTGTATATGGCACTGTGACCCAGGTGAGTGCCCAACACTTTACGCATCAACTAGAGACACAACCAAACAAAAGCAACAACAGAGAGGTCAACGCATGCTTATGAGCTGCACCATCAATACATGATGTGATATATTAAACTCAACTGAATATTTTCTGGGTGTACCTTCCAGCAGGATTCACAGAACTCCTTCACGTTAACGGTTCGGCACAGTGTGATGATGAACACCGTCAGAGCGTCAGAGGGCAGGCAGTTATAACACACCACCGCGTCCAACACCTGCAGCGCAACCTACACACACACATTGATTTTATGGTAATACTGAAAGACTGAACCAAAGGCCACTTTTTTACCTCAATATCTGTGGAGCAAGTCGTCCGGTTACACAGAAGGCAGATTTTCCTGCGAGAAACAAATCAGTGATGTTAGTGTGTGTGTGTGTGTGAAAACTCTCTTATATGTGCTTTTCCTTCACTATTTTGACCAAATCAACATTTGTTTAATAAAAAATAACTATTTTTCCAAAGAAATTCATGTACAGACAAATTTACACTAGCATTCAAAAGTTTGGGGTCAGTAAGATTTTTTTATGTTTTTGAAAGAAGTCGGAGGCTGCATTTATTTGATCAAAAATACAGTAAAATTGTGAAATATTATTACAACTAAAAATAACGGTTTTCTATTTCAATATATATTAAAATGTAATGTATTGCTGTGATCAAAGCTGAATTTTCAGCATCATTACTCCAGTCTTCAGTGTCACATGATCTTCAGAAATCATTCTGATATGCTGATACGCTGCTCAAGAAACATTTCTGATTATTATCAATGCTGAAAACAGTTGTGCTGCTTCATATTTTTGTGGAAACCATAATACTGTATTTTCTGATGAAAGGAAAGCTTAAAAGAAGAGCATTTATTTGAAACAGAAATCTTCTGTAAATGTCTTTACTGTCACTTTTGATCGATTTAATACATCCTTGCTGAATAAAGTATTTATTTCTTTAAAAAACACAATCCTACTGACCCCAAACGTTTGAACTAAAGTGTATATATATATATATATATATATATATATATATATAT